AGTAGTAGTGGTAGTAGTAGTAGTAGTAGTAGTAGTAGTAGTAGTAGTAGTAGTAGTAGTAGTAGTAGTAGTAGTAGTAGTAGTAGTAGTAGTAGTAGTAGTAGTAGTAGTAGTAGTAGTAACAGTAGTAGTAGTAGTAGTAGTAGTAGTAGTAGTAGTAGTAGTAGTAGTCGTCGGGTGGGAAGACCCCTGACTACTACGTGCGACGTACGTACATGGATGCAAGAGCCCATTCAACTGGAGAAAAGACACGGGTGCTGCGCAAGACGACATAGCGACCCCACGCCGCGGCTCACGCGGGTCGCCAGCGTTGCACGGCGCGTGGAGAGGAGGGCACTCGCGCGCGAACCTGCGCGGGAACCTCACGCGCGAGTGCCCGCGCTGTCGGAACCGTTTCCACCGCCGCTCGGCGCACTGCGGTTGAGGAGGAGGAGGAGGAGGAGGAGGAGGAGGAGGAGTAGGAGGAAGGAGGAAGGAGGAAGGAGGAGGAGGAGGAGGAGGAGGAGGAGGAGGAGGAGGAGGAGGAGGAGAGGAGAGGAGAAGGTTTGCACGCGGCGCACCGCTGGCACACCGTGCGAGCGGCTGCCGCGCCGGCGGGGACGCCCCCCCGCGGAGTGCCGCACAGCCGTGCGGCAAGAGCCTTCCAGGAAGGTCACGGCAATCCAGTACGACAGCGTGTTGTTGAAGCTCCACGCGGCGCCCTGAGCGTACCTCAGCGTCCGCATGCTCGAACCCCTCCCCTAGTCTTCCTCTTCCTCCCTCCCCGTCCAAAATGATCCTCCCTCCCATCATCCATCCTCCTCCGATCTCCATCAATGCATCGCTCTTGCGCCCTCCACCTCCATCCGCTCCTCTCCTCCTCTCCTCCTTCCTCCTCCCTACCTCGGTCCCCCTTACCCGCCTCCCCCACGCCCCTCCTCTCTCTCCTCTTCCTTCTCTCTCATACAATATTCAAACTCCCCACCCTCACATTCCTCCACGCCCCCACCTCCTTTCTCAACCATCGTATGTTCCCCCTCTCCTCCCTCTGTGCCGCATCCCCTTCTTCCCTGTCGTCGGCATCGCTTTCTCCTCATCCTCCTCCTCCTCCTCCTTCTACTCTCATGTTTGTTCATCCTCGTCTGTCTCCTCACTCCCCAGTTATCATGAGAAATTCAATGACGCCTCCGCTATTGCAACTCATAGGTGTTCTTTGCCCTTCCCTCTGAAATCTACATGTTCCCCACACTCACCCCCCTGCCTCGGATATACCACACTGGCAAAATGGTCACATCCTATGGTGATTCGGACGTGGCCCGGGGTTCACGAATGCTTTATGGATCTTGGGTCTTTTCGAACGTGTGTTCGAGCGCCTGGGCCCGCCCGGATGTCAAAACCCTCGGACAATCAATGAACGGACAATCAATGAACAACGGGTTTGGTGATCCATGCCTGTCCCTTCCAAGCCCTGCTCCCCCCTCTCCTTTCCCTCCGCATCTTCCTTATGTTACTTAGTATTCTCCCCATCCTCCTACTAATCTCCCACTCCCGCTACCTCTCCCTATTCCTCCACCTCCTCCTCCTCCTCCTCCTTCTCCTCCTCCTCCTTCGCATCCGCCTCCTCCCTTTCGCACCCCGAGACTTGTTGGCAGGGCGGGCCGAGCCTTTTAGCCTAAGGCTTTCCATGTCACTAAGGCATCCTGAAACTTGAATTTACAACGGCTCCAAGGATGGAACGGCGGTCGTTTACATAATGGGGCTCCCGCTGTTGTCGCACCACGCACAAGCGTCTTATTAAACTATTGCGCCACGTGCAGGGGGAAAACAGGGGCGCGCACATGCGTGCCAAACGGTCGCAACACGAATCCTCTTCAATGTGGGGCGTCCGCATGGAAGCCGCATAGCCCAAGTGCCGCTAACTTGAACACGTGTAGCAGCTGCGCGGTTGGAGGGCGGCTCCTTTTGATCATGGGGCGCTCGCCTGGGACTTACCCGAAGTCCATGGCCACCTTGAGAGATCATGCAGCAATTGCGCAGATGGGTTGCTGACCTTTTTCCGAACGGGGGTATCGCTGGACATTTCGCTGAGATGCATGAAGAGGAGCAGGGGGCAGGAGGAAGAGGGGGAGGAGGAGGAGGAGGAACAGGGGGAGGAAGAACAGGAACAGGAGGAGGACGAGGACGAGGAGGAGGAGGAGCAGGGGGGGAGGGGCAGGAGGAGGCCTGATCGCACGTTCCAGCAAGCCGCTTTACCCAAAAGGGACAGGATGCCAGGCAGTCTTTTTTCAAAACGGGGCTCCCGCACGAGCAGGCCCATAGGACACTGGACTATCTGAGGGGTGCGCTCTGCAACGGGAGGGAAGGCCTGCAGGGACTTCTGAAGGGGACTTCTGGCGGGACGGTATCGCAACATCGCTGTTGAATATTGTTTCCGTCCTGGCCCCGAGAATCTGAGAGGGGTCTTTTTCCCCTTGGGGGCAAACGGTACTGAAACCCAATGGTCGCAATGCACAACAAGTCCTACCGCACTTCTGGGATAGAAACTGCCTGAACAACACGCGAAATTCCAATGCTCTTCGCCGTCGGAACGCTAGAAACTGACGCGCCCCTTCCGCGGCTTTTGAGCAGAACCTGGGAACGACTGGAATACACACAACAGACTCCGCAATGCAGGACTCCGTCCTGGAAAGGAAACAAGCAGGTCTAAGTTAGTGCGCGATGCATGTGTAAGTTCGTACGCGATGCAGACCGTACAGTGAATCGACAGAAAACACAACATATGCAAGCAGAGGGCGAGCATGATTTGAGCGTAAAAATGCAAGGACCTGCTCACACGCGGAGAACTGTTTTGAGTTGCCACGGAAGGACCACGTCAAGCAAGGCGGAACACAGATTCAGCAAATTAGGTTTTAATCGAACAGTCGAAAGACGAACACCTGGACCTCATCGGATCATGGGCTCATGTCCCCGGCACACTGGCATGCGATAGCAACCCGGAGATCGACGAGTCTAACACTCCATAGCGGGCGCCATCTCGTGTCTTCCGTTCACAATATTTCGGCTGGTATCTCGCAGTGTATGGACATGCTGTCTCTGCTCCTTTTCCGCATTCGTATCTTCTCTCTCTCTCTCTCTCTCTCTCTCCCTCTCTCCCCCTCTCTCCCCCATTCCGCTTCCAAGTCCCGTATGCCTTCCAGGACACTCCAGTTTACCCCTCTTCCCTCACTCCTGCTCCTCCTGCTCCTCCTCCTGCTCCGCCTGCATCCTCCTGCTCCTCCTGCTCCTCCTCCTGTTCCTGCTGCTATCTCCTCCTTCTCCCCCTCCTCCTCCGCCTCTAGCCTCCAGTCCCTCCTCCTTCTCCTCCTCCTCCTCGTCCTCCTCCCAATCCTCCTCCTCCGCCTACTCCTCATCATCAGCATCCCCAGCATCATCATCATCATCATCATCATCATCATCATCATCATCAGCAGCAGCATCAGCATCAGCATCAGCATCATCATCATCATCATCAGCATCATCAGCATCATCAGTATCATCATCATCATCATCATCATCATCATCATCATCATCATCAGTATGATAATCAACAGCAGCATCATCAGCATCAGCACCATCATCATCATCAGCATTACCATTTTCATCATCACAATCATCCTCCTCCTCCTCCTCCTCCTCCTCATCATCATCATCATCCCCCTCCTCCTGGTCTTCCTCCTGATCAGCACCAATAGCATCATCAACAACACCATCATCATCCCCACCCGTGTCATCACCACCATCATCATCATCATCATCATCATCATCACCACCATCATCATCATCATCATCATCATCATCATCATCATCATCATCATCATCATCATCATCATCATCATCATCATCATCATCACCATCACCATCACCATCAGCATCAGCATCATCATCATCATCATCATCATCATCATACTCATCATATTCATCATCATCATCATCATCATCATCATCATCATCATCATCATCATCAATATCATCACCATCATCCTGCGGCCGCGTGTCCGTGCGGCGCTTGGAGCGTGTTGATCGGGAGCCGGCAGATGCGCTCGCCATCCGTCAAATAGGGCAGCCCCCCGTGGGTGGCCCGTTGTCCCAGCGTCCCAAGCAGAAGCCAATCCTGAGGGAAGGGTCTGCCAGCCAGGGCCTATACGATCCGCTTGCGCGGGAGCATATTAGAGCATGCTGCTTACCAGGCACGTGGCTTCAATCGCAAACCAGTCAGGGCACAGAGGGGTGACCGCGTCAACGGTGACTCGCAACCTAAGCGTGACGGCTGGTGCGTAGGATGACTTTTAAGCGGCCTCAACCCTGCCGAAACACCTGGCACGCGCAACTGGGTTTGTACCCCAGGAAGGGTGGACACATGGTCCCATGGGATTTACGGGCCACGTACGAGAAAAATGGCGCTGACCCCGGGCTCTGGACAGCGACGCGCCCGACCTCCACCGCCTCGGCATCCTCTCGGTCCTCGCTGGCGCCGGCCTCTGACCTGTGTGGCCCGCGCCAGACTTGGCCTGGGCCCTCGTTTTGCAAAGCTCTCTCCGCGATTTCTTGGCCCTGGTTCGCTGTTGTCTCCTCCTCCTGGTCCCCCTCGTCCTCCGCTTCTCCGTCGCCGTCATCCGGCGTTCGCGGCCTGGCTGCAATCCTGGCGGTGTCTCCTTAGTGCCTTCGTCGCCGCGTATCCTCCTCCGTTTCGTCCTCCTCTGCCTCCTCGGCATTGTCCGTGTGCTGCTGCGTCCTCCTCCGCCGCCTTCTCCTCTGCCCCACACCATCAGCCTTCTCATACCCCCCCTTCCTCCCCCTCCCCCTCCCCCTCCTCCTCCTCCTCGTCCTCAGTGCTCTGCACCCTCTCGTTCTCATGTGTCGGCCCTCAAGCTGGCCTCGCCCTTCGCCTCCTCGGTCGGTTTTGCAGCGCCGTCCGCCAGCGGTCGCCAGCTGGTGGACTGTCAGGTTCTGCTCGGCCACCCCTGTTTGAAAGGTGGTCGAGAGTTCCTGCCAGAAGGCCGTGGCGTCAGCATTGGCGCTCCACGCGGTCCAGGCGATCTAGGACCAGCTGCTTGGTGGCCGGGCCAATTAGGCCTCTTGTTTCCACCTCGAATGGCGTCGTCGGCCCGTTGGCGTCGTTGGCCCTGGCGGGTAGCGCTGGCGCTGTCCCCACTCCGTCACGCCCTCCTCCGCCTCCTCCCCCTCCTCCGCCCTCCTCCTCCTCCTCCTCCTCCTCCTCCTCCGCCCTCCTCCTCCTCCATCTCATCCTCGTCCTCCTCCTCCTCCTCCGCCTCCTCCTCCTCCTCCGCATCGTCCCCCTCGTCCCCCAAACGTCCTCAACCGTATTATCCCTTCTGCCACTCCTACCCCCTTCTTGCCATCCTCTTTCCCATCCTTCCTGTCTTCCTCCTCCTCGGGGTACCACGGCTGCTCATCTTCGAAGTCACTGTTCGTTTTGTTGTCGATGAAGATGGACCTCTTCGCCCCACGGAAACCGCCTGCGCGAGGCGTGCCAGATACGTTCCCTTCGCAAACTCCCGCCTCCTGCTGCTCTTCCCGATCCCTTCGCTCCGTCTCTCCCGCTGTTATTCCTCATCCTGCTGCGCTCTCACATGTCGCCTGCTGCCGCTGCTGCTGATGCTGCTGCTGCTGCTCATCCCGACGCCTCCTGCTCCCTCTTCCAGCTGCTACCTCTGCTGCTCCGAGTCCCTCCTGCTGCTGCTGGTACCCCCTTCCTCTCCCCTTCTCCTCTCTCAAGGGAGCAGGCTGAGAAAGAACAGAAGAACGAGGAGGAGCGACAACGAGCGTTGAGGGGCGAGGAGGGGGATGCTCCCAGGCCTTGGCGCCAATTCAGATACCCCGTCCTGAACTCCATGTAGTCTCCATAGGCACCCATTTTCTGGATCCTCGCGCCGGCCAGCCCCCGACCCATGGCGGCGGAGGCGGGATGACGACGACGACGACGACGACGACGACGACGACGACGACGACGACGACGACGACGGCGACGACGACGACGACGACGGCGGCGACGACGACGACGACTGCGACGGCAGGGAGGGCCAGGGAGGAATGGGGAGGGAGGGGAAATGGACGGGAAGAGAGGGAGGGCCGGGGAGGTGGGAGAAGGGAGTGAAGTGAGGGAGGGGCAGGGAGGGGGCAGGTGGGAGGGGAAGGAGGGGGAGGGGAGGCAGGGAGGGGAGGGGGAGGGCGGGACGCGGGCGGGCTCGTGCGCCTCCCGAGGCCTCGCCTCCCCCCGAGGGGAGGCGGCATCGGAGGCCGTGGTTTCCCGACCGGCCACCCGAGCGAGCCTGCGGCCCGCGGGCGCAGACGCGCAGGCCCGCGCCCGGGTTGCGAGGGTGAGGCGGATGAGGCGGACGAAGGGGAAGAGGGAGGAGGAGGAGGAGGAGGAGGAGGAGGAGGAGGAGGAGGAGGAGAGAGGAGGAAAGAGGAGGAGGAGGAGGAGAGGAGGAGGAGGAGGAGGTAGGAGGAGGAGGAGGAGGAAGGGAGGATGAGGCGGATGAGGAGGAGGAGGAGGAGGAGGAGAAGGAAGGAGGAGAAGCAGAAGGATGAAGAGGAAGATGAAAAGAAGGCGGAGGAGGAGGAGGAGGAGGAGGGAGGAAGAGAAGAGAAGGATGATGCCCAGCCGACGATAGGCTGGCGCGTCGGCGTGGAGCCTGCAACTCCCTGGACAGCGAAGAATGGAAGGGAAACGGAGATTGGGCTGCGAGCGGGGGGGGGCAGGCCAGGTGCGCTCGCGCCACATAAGACATCTTTAGCCCTCCCTCCCATCCCTTCTCATGGCACTGATTCGCCAACGGGTGTCATAGCGGACCTGGAACACCAAAGTGGCCCCATCGCGTCGCGGTCAATGCGAAAAGAGGAGTTGTGTATATTTGGGGAGGTGGCGGATGAGCAGGAGGATGAGCAGGAAGAAAACGAAAAGGAAGAGGAAATCAACAGAAACAGGTGAAGCACGAGGCCCAGGGGAAAACGGGAAGGGAAAAAGAAGAGGGCGGCAACGACGAGGAAACACTCGAAGCCATAAATGTGGCCCGCGCTGGCGAAAGCCGCCCAGGGGGGGGGTCCTGGGTCAGATACGCATCCCCCCCTACGCATTCCGCGGCTCCCCTGGGGGTCCTGGGGCCGCAACAAATACCAAGACAACCCAAGAGTGCCCCAAGAGGCCCCCGAGACGGTTCAAAACGGCTGCACGCTCTCCAGACTGCCCATGCAACCTCCAAGACGCCCCAAGAAGCCTCCAAGAACACTCTCGAGAGAGCCCCAAGAGAGAACATGATCTAATTTTCTTATAAATGTTTGAAGATTTCAGCGTTCTCACCTTTTCCGCTTCCCGCCGCTCCAAAACAACCCAAAACAACCTCAAGATCGCTCCAAGACGGCCCACAAGGCTTCCAAGAGCGCTCCAAAATAGCCCAAGAGAGCCCCAAGGTAGCCCATAATGCCTCTCAGACGGCCCGAGATGCCCCCAAGACAGCTCCAAGAGCGTGCCCAGACGGGGTCCCGAATCAAGAGCCTCCAATGAGGCCCCAAGAGACCCCCCCAAATCCCTCAGGAAGCCCGACGAGGCCCCCAAGAGGCTCCCAAGAGCCCTCCAAGACTGTCCCAGAGACGCCAAAATTCCTCCCCAGAGGCCCCAGACAACCTTCCCGAGACACCTCATGAAGCATCCCTGAGGACTCCGGCCCGCGTCAGCGTCGTCGTCGTTGTCGCCCCCCTTCCGAGCAACACTACCCGAGGCCTTTCAAATTTCTGCAGGCCCTGAGAGGATCGAGCGAATCAAAAACTTAACGAAAACCCGCAGACAAAAACATCCAAAATCTCCCACCACCGTCCCGCTGGTGCCGACCCCGCCGCCATGTCCTTTCCGCCGTTCCCCCGCTCATGCGGCGACGCGCCACGCAGACGGAGAGCGCCGTCACGGAGGCCGCGCTCTCCATCTGCGTGGGCCCTTCGCATCCTCCTCATCATCCTCATCCTCCTGATCATCATCCTCATCATGCTCGCCATCCGACCTCCTCCTGCCCCTCCTGCCCCTCCTCCTACCCCTCCTCCGCGTTCTCTTCCTTCTCCTGCTCCTCAGGCTCCCACTCCCCCCGTCCTGCTGCTGTTCATTCCACAGCCCGTTCTCCCCCCTGCCCCTGCTCCCACGTCTCCTCCTCCTCCTCCTCCTCCTCCTCCTCCTCCTCCTCCTCCTCCTCATGCTGCTCCACAGCGACCTCCGCCTCCTCCTCCTCCTCGTGTTCCTCCTGCTCCGCATTCTCCTCCTCCTGCTACTCCACATCTTCGTCGTCCTCGTCGTCGCCATCTTCAGGGTCGGCAACACTGGCCGTGAGGACTTCGCAATTCATACTTGTGGCCCGCGCTGGCGAGAGCGCGATGCTGAACGACGGGAGCAAAACGCCGATCCTAAAACGATGCTGACGCTACATCGAGGGCTCCGTCTTGGAAGGACCGAGCTCGCCCGGATTGGAAACAACACCAGAGAAACACCATCTCGGAACAATCCTGCGTATAAGCAATACGCGGAAAGGGGGCGCGCTACTCTGAGGCTATCGTCAGTGGAGCGGGGGAATAGCATTCAAATTCTGCAATTCCCCCACAACTACTTGCACGTTGGGGCTCTCACCAGGTCCAACCGAAACTGGGCCTGGGTGTCGGTCTGGCCTGCGTGTTGTCGCCGTCGCCGCCCGTCGACGCCGTCCGTGGCCGCCGCTTCTTGGTCTGGGTGTCGGTCGCCGCGCTTGTTATCGCCGTCGCCGCCCGTCGCCGCCTCGTCGCCACCCGTCACCTCCTGTCGCTGCCGCCCCGGTGCGCCCAACCCCGTTACATTGCAATCGGAATCGATTGCAACAGAGTGCACTTCATAGATTACACCAGGTAGCTTACATCATATAGTTTGCACCAAGTATACTGCACTACATGTATTGCAACAAGTAGCACCGCATACCATACACCGCGTAGGTCGCACCACATGAGGTGCACCACAACGCTTGCACCACAGGTATTGCTTCATATAGCTTGCACAACGTAGCTCAGCATCTATATATAAATATATATATATATATATACATATCGTGCACCACATCGGCTGCAGCCTGTCTCTCTCTATATATATATTGCACCACACACTTTGGCTCACATCACCTACAGATATAGCAATTGATGCAGCACATAGCGCACACCACATGGACACCTGCACCACCTACGTACGTACTTACATACATACATGCATACAGACAAACAGACAGACAAACAAACATACGTAAATGCGTACGCACGTACGTACATACATACACATACATACATGCATACATCTATACATACACATATACAGACATGTCGCACACTGCCAACACCATATAGATGACTCGCATAGATTGCAGGACATACCTCAAACCCCATAGATCGGACCACATAGCTTACACCAGACAGCTTACACCACGTATATCAGGCCACATAGATGAGTAGGTTAGCTCCACGTCGGTTGCACCATCTAGCTTGCACATCCGATCTACCCCCTATATACACATTTATCGCTATATCTATACACATACATAAATGACCTTGCATGCATTGCACCAGTCAAACATGAAAACCGCACATAGGTTGCACCACGTTGCTTAGACAACGAATATTCCACCACGTATGTTGCACCAACTACTAACCACATAGGCTACATCACATAACATGCCACACACTAACTTGATTGGGGTCCACGTTGGCTAACATTATGGAAGGAGAGGGGAACACATAGGATTAGAAGAAACAAAGGTAGAGAGAACAACAACATGAGCAGCATGACGAGGGCTCGCTTCCCCCACCTCGACTCTCTGCTGCTAGCTATGGGACGCGCCTGCACGTAATTACATGCACGACTACCTGCTCCAAATCATGCGGCCCCCGAGGACCCAAAACAAACGTTCTCGAGGCAAAAACGCAGTCCAACCTGATAAACCTATCTTTGTGCGGCGTCTCTCGCGCCAGATCGCTCCCGTGGAGTGGGCCCGACCCGGGCAAACCCTCCCACCCTGATTTTATCACGAAACCAAGATGTAGGCCATACGTCCGTTCAGAAACTGTACACGGACCCCTCCCGAGGTACCTTCCTGAGCCGTTTTCCCAGCCGCGTGCAGCCGTGACACTGACAAGGGGGGCCTTCGAAGGCCAGAAAACTAGTAACGAGGAAGGGTGAGGGACAGGGCGGGCCATAGCTTGGCTTCAGGCTGCCGCTTGGGGCGATGCCGGGCTCCACAGCAGAGGCCCTCGTCGAGGCGCAACTGATGAGTTCTTGTGTCGGCGCGGTGCCAGAGGCGTCGCAAGGGGTGTGGGGAGGGGTGCCAGCGCGGGCCCAAGAAATCTGCGCGGACGTCCGAAGGCTGATCTTCATGGCTTGTGTGTTGGGCGCGTCCCGGCTGTGTTTTGAGCGAAATATGCTGGCTGCCGACCGACTGTCTGCCTGACTGACTGGTCGAGCCCGTCAGGAAGCCGCTTTATTTTCGGCCGCCGAGCGCGCAACCCACTGCGCAACCAATAGCTGGCCGTTGTATCTGGGCCGCTGAATGCGCAACCTATGGCGCAACCATCAACGGGCCGTTGCATTTTCGGCCGCCGGGTGCGCAATTTAAGCCGCAACCAGTAACAGGCAACTGTATTTTCAGCCGCCGAGTGCGCAACCTGTGGCGCAATCAATAGTAGGCCGTTGCAGTCTCGGCCGCCGAGTGGACAACCTATGGCGCAACCCATGGCGCACCCCACGGATGGCGCAACCTATGACGAACCCTACGGCTCAAACGACAGTGCTTCCCACGGGTCAACACATGGCGCAACCCATAGTGCAGCCAATTGGCGCAACCCATTCATGGTGCATTCCATTGCGCGACCCGCCCTTGTATGGAGTAACTCATTGTGCAACCCCAGAATGGAGCAACCGGGGACGCACCCGATGGATGGCCAAACCTATGGATGGCGCAACCTCGACCCACCGGTGGCGCAACCCGCTGCGCACCCCACTGGTGGCACACTCTCGCTGCTCAGGCCCAAGCGGCGAGCTGCCCTGTGGCCAGGAGGGGGACAGGTGGCTAGGGGGGACGAGGAAGAGCAGGATGAGAGAGAGACAGGGGGGGAGGACGGAAAAGCGAAAGAACGGGAGGAGGAGGTGGAGGACGATGGCGGTGGCGGCGGCGGCGGCGACAGGAGCAGGAGGGTGACGGCGACGGCGACGGCGACGGCGAAGGCGACGAGGACGAGGACGAGGACGAGGACGAGGACGAGGACGAGAACGAGGACGACGACGACGACGACGACGACGACGACGACGACGACGACGACGACGACGACGACGACGACGACGGCGGCGGCGGCGGCGGCGGCGGCGGCATCGACGGCGCCGGCGTCGACGGCGGCGGCGGCGGCATCGACGACGACGGCGACGGCTCCAACGTCGGCCCGCTATAAAGAGGGCCCTGCGCCCCCACGGGTCCGCGGCAGCAGGTCGGGCAGGTCTGCGGCGGCCTTGTGCCCGGAGTGGGAACGCGAGCGCGTCCGCCTCCGCGCAGAGGGGTGGGGCCGCCGCCGTCGTGGAGCGCAGGCGGCCCGCGGAGCGGATGCCGGCCAGATGGGCAGCCGAAGGCCGCCGAAGGGCCTCGTCGGCGAAATGCAGGAGTGACCTTTGGTGCGCGGCTCCAAAGGGGCTTCGGGCAGGCCCAGTCTAAGCGAGCACGATATTGCCGCGGGGGCTCCTGCAGGCTCGCGCCACAGGCCACTTCGGCGAAGGGTCACTCTTGCAAGTGGCCGGCCTCCGAGGGCGGCGGCGGCGGCGGCGGCGCGCGGCGGCGCGCGGCCGGAAGGGGCGCGGGGAGGCTGGGGCGTCCTGGTGGGAGTGGGGGGGGGAGGGGGGGCGGGGGGAAGTTTTCAGGGATCGGGGCTCCTGGGTTCTTTTTTCACCCTCCCTGACTTCTGGGAGTCGTTCTCAAGTTTCTGATCAAACGGCGCCCCCGGAAAAGTCCAGAGGCCGATTGTGGAGTTCCGAACCCAGACCCCTTGCGATGGGGGGAAGAGAAGGGGAGAGGAGAAGGAGATGAGGGAGGTGGGAGGAGCTGGGAGGAAAAAGGGATGGATGGATGAACTGATTTGCAAAGTTATCCCGGCAAAGTAACCTAACAGCGATGTGTAGGAGCATATCTGGGAGCATTCCCCTTAAGATTCAGATGAGAAGCCAGTTGTAGAATTCTGCTGTTCTCGCAGTCGTAGTCGCATTCGCGATGACAGTCGCAGTGGCAACGGCAGTCGCAGTCACAGCCTCAGCCTCAGCCTGCCTCAGCCTCAGCCTCAGCCTGCCTCAGCCTCAGCCTACCTCAGCCTCAGCCTCAGCCTGCTTCAGCCTCAGCCTCAGTCTGCCTTCAGCCTCGGCCTCAGCCTCAGCCTGCCTCAGCCTCAGCCTGCATCAGCCTCAGCCTCAGCCTCAGCCTGCCTCAGCATCA